GGGTTTGCTCTACAAGATGTGACAGCTTGGCAAGTTCGAAACTGTTCTAATTGATCTGTATTAAGCAAACAAAATACAGAAACACCGTGACGCTTTTGATCGTTTTTTGTCACAGCGTCACGGTTTTTCTGTATTTTGTTTGCTTAATACAGATCAATTAGAACAGTTTCGAACTTGACAAGCTGTCACATCTTGTAGAGCAAACACTTTTCTACAAATTGGTATAGTTGTTCAATTTTCCCCAGCTCATCTTCACTCTTTTAGGTACGCTTTTTAGATAGCCCCAAGATCGCTCTTTTGGGCTGTTTATACAACAACTGTATTTTCATAACGAGTTAACGTTTAGAGCCGAGATATTTTTCATTTTGTAGAGAAATGTTTAATCTATTTAATTATCTAGTTGCCATTTTAAATGAGTTTGTAGCTTTATTGCAATAATTTTTTGAAATGAGCGAAAACAGGGGATCGTTAACTCGACAAGCCGGTTAGAATTAATTGTTAGTGCTAATGCGTTTTTCTTTTTTAGTACGAATCTGTAATTATTTTTTTGGTTTTACAGTTAGTTTTTCCTTTAGTACCACTAGTTGATTTTTAATTGGACGCTACTATTTCAGGATCCTATTAGCCATGTGACAATGTCACATTTCAGGGTTTTTTGGCATTATGCTGTTCTTCCTATCATTTAACTAGACTTGATGTGACGCGGAATGGAAAATTTCGAGGGATCACTTAATCTGACAATTTTTTTAGTGACTTCACTTCAGTTATGACTTGCAAAATCTCTGACTTACTCAGCTCTGATTTATTTCTGACATAGAGGATATACATCAAATTGTAGTATAATCAAGACAGATGTTGTAGAAGACTTCTAAGAAATGCTTTTCAAAAAAATCAGCTTCATGTAAAGCTTTTAGACACATAAAAATAAACAAAACAAATCTATATTTCAAAAGATTCTCTAATTTGTCGTTATCTACAACGAAATCATTGACTGATTTATTGTTTGATTTGGTTGCTGACAGACGGTTTTAAAAGTCAGAATCAGTTGCTATGACACATAAAATATATATCATATCATCTTTTTATCAATGTAAAAAGGCACAAAAACCAATCAACATTTCCATAAGATATCGTACATATTAATTTTATTGTATTTTTTACCAGCATAAATAGAATGATGGAAAATTTTTATATGTCGCTTATACATGTCAATTAAAATTTCATTATGTATGTTCTTTTTCCTTTCATATAGTATTTGGTGAAAAATGGTTACATGAAAGAATATTTTTACCAATAACAATAATGGATTTTTTTATGAAAACACTACGAATGCCTCTATTATTAATTATTGGTCGTTTTAATACATGGATTCCATTACAATTATCACCATTAACTGTGATATTTGGTAAACCGATTTCAATTATAAAACAAGAACAACCGACTGATGAATATGTTGAAAAAATTTATCATGAATATTATGAAACAATGAAAATTATGTTTAATGAATATAAAATGAAATTAGGATATAGTGATAAAGAAGTTTTAATTATAAAAGAAGAAAAATCAAAATTAATAAATTAGATAATTTTAGAATTTTAAATAATTGTGTTTATCATATTGAGCTAAGCTCGAAATAAATTATTGTAAACTAAAGTATATTGTACCAATGTGTTGTCATCTCAAGAAATTATCAATACCTTTATTGTTATGTTACTTTCATTCTATTAAATTTAGATATATAGATATAGTTACGGACTGTAATAGTTTTTTCTATATGAGTGCTTAATATTACAATAGATACGAGTTCTTTTGACTATCGAGAGTATCAATGAAACTTAATTATTCTTGAATGATAAAAGGTTATCAAGTCATATCTAGGAAGCTTTAACAAATAAGTAAATGAGTCATTCAAATTGATATCGTACCTACTTCATTCTGTTGAGAAATGTTTGCTCTAAAAAACTCAGCTATAAAAAGACACTTGAAATTATTTCTAACAAAAGTGCAGCTTTCTAAAATGCACTAAAATTAGAAAAAAAAACTGTTCGAATAAGGTTTTTTCTACCTTTAGTGTATTTTACGATCATAGATAACTTCAAAATTTTTCTACTTATATGGGATTATAGTCAAAACATTTCTCTACAAGATGAGATGTTCGGTGACTCTAAGAAATCTTTTATAGGTGATTTATAATAATTTTTATGGAAGCGCAAACAGCAGTTTTTAACCGGTACATACCTACTATGCGTTCCAAAATACAATGGTCTCGGATATTTTTCGAATAATTTTTCATAGGAATAAGACAGAGACCTGCGACTTTCAGTTTTGAAAACTAGACACCTAACCACATATTATTGGTTTACAAACACTTCTGAATTCCAGACAACGTCTCTGTAATTTGATTTGGTTTTATCTGACCCCCAAAGACCACTAGAGGTCTAACAATATTTCGAAAATCCAGACAATGCTCACGCGTCCCTTCGGTCCGCGCTCGCAGCCAGAACAGGTGTTACAGGTCTTTGATTCCACAGAAAACGCGAGCGCATCTACCCATTTGAATCTTTGTCCGTGACACTCATTAGTGCTTCTGTGTATGTACGTCCGTCACAGTGCCACATGACTATATGTATATACGTCCGTCACACTCACTAGTCACTATATGTATGTACGTCCGTGACACCTCTGTATGGACAAACACACACACAAACACTTTGTACTTTTTCGTATAACCAAATTTTTTTCGTATGACCATAGACTTACAGTCAATGGAATAATAGATTTGTATATAAAAAATTTGTAAATCCTTTGATACTACTTGTTGTTTTACTTGTAGATTGAATGTTAGCGGTTCTAAATCACAAAGTTGTACTACTGAACCCAAAGTCATTATCGAATCAATAAACTTAATATTGTCAAATACTATGTTGACTTTATCAGAATGATATTGACAACTATCACCATAATACGTTTTTCTACAATTACATTTATATTTTTCTTTTAAATAGAGTTCGTATGGAACGATTAGTGTACCACCGTTTAAGCAACGAGTTTACGTAATAGATATAGAATATGATGTATAATTTAAATGAAACGTTGGACCGTGATGGACAAATACATTTGGTTTGGATGGACGACAGATCGAATACGATGAACAATTTCCTCTGCTACATTTACCATTGAATATTCTACAACTTTTACCGTATGAATTATTTTGACAGTAACAATAATAACCTTCACTATTATTTATTAAATTCATAAAAGGATAACATAGACCGTTACTGTAACACCGATTCTATCTCCCACATATATGTTGTGGTTGGATTGGTTAAAATCTTAATAGTTTTGCTATACGATACGATGGCAGAAATACAAATGGTTGAATTGAATATTACCAAATTGCTACAAATTTAATTGTAAAATCAACGCACAATTCAAATACTTCAAATGGTATAGAATATAATCCTTCGGTTTTCTTTGGCCTTGATACACATAAATTCGAAAAATTAAATGAATATTTTAATGGCACTACTCTGGTAATAAATGCATGAACAGTAGAACAACGTATTCAATATCAAGAGTATGTTCATAATAATTCTATGAAAACGTGGACTTATAATCGTGGTGTGGCTGTTCGAAATAATTTATCAGATATTGTATGTTTATGTCCACCAAGTTTATACGGACGATTTTGTCAATATTTTAGTGATCGTATAACAGTAATAATCAGTTTACAAAATATTTTAACAATAAACATAATAAAAATAGTAGCAACATTTTTGTTAAATGAAGATATTCTTGAATGACAAGAGACCCATATTTTATCGCCATGAAGAAATTATCCATGCAGAATGTCGGCGAAAGTGGGAGACAGAGTGATTAATGATCAAGCGCACATTCACCGAATTTCTTTCAGAAATGATTCACAAGTGAAAGGAGAAAACATAAATTCTATTTTGTGTATCCAAGGCCAAAGAAAACCGAAGGATTATATTCTATACCATTTGAATCTTTGTCCGTGACACTCATTAGTGCTTCTGTGTATGTACGTCCGTCACAGTGCCACATGACT